CCAAAATATATGGCAAAAAAATATTTGCAACTTGAATGTTGGAAGAAAATCAGAAAAGATAACTATAAAAGAGAAAAAAAATTAAATGGGAGAGAGAATTAACAAATTGAAAATATAAATATGAGAGAGAATAATTTATTTTTTTTAAAAAAAAGGATATATAGAATTAATTGAAAAAGAGAGATAAAATTGGAAGAAAATTGGAACACATAAATTTTTTAAAATAATGACATTTTTGACATTATTGTTAATATTTATAAAGTATGAATATTTTTACTAAATATGTTATTTATTTTGATTAGTTTACTAATTTTTCCTAATATAACTAATTTATTTATTAATGTACATAGAGCTGTCAATATGGGCTAGCCCATCCCATCTAGGCTAATTCATACAAGCTTTGACATTTTACGGTCAGGCCGGGCTAGCGCATTTTTTGTGTGGGTCAGAAAATGGTCGACCCAACCCACAAGTACGTGAGCTACAAGCTTGTCGGGCCAACCCACTTGTTAAAAATAATATATTTTTTATATAGATATTAATTTAAATTATAAATTATAATTTAAAATATTATCATAAATATCGACAAAAACAAAATTACATGATGTTAATGTTACTACTCATTAATCAAATTCACAAATAAAATTGTCCTTATATGGTCACTTGCCTTGATAGGCGTTTAGCCTCACTCTATTGCCAACTCAATCAGGGGTAGCTCGACAGGTTAAAAAAAAGACATGTGTCTTAGGCCCCTAAATTTAAGGGGCATCATTTTTAGTTATAATAGATTAAACATTATTATTATTTTAACAAATACTGAATACTATTTGTAGAAAAAGTTAACTTTTCATGAAAAATAAAGAAAATATTAGAAGAAATTTGACATATTTGGATTATTATATCTCATGAAAAATATTTTAAAATAAGAATGGTTATATTATCACTTGAAAACTAGGAGTAATCAATTATATAAAAATTACTAACAATTCAAGTTTAAGGCCCCATATGATTTTTGGTTTAAGCCACTAATATGCTTGAGCCGCTCCTGAACTCAACTATCTTAATGCCACATAAGCATGGACAATGGTCAGAGGGGTTTGATATATTGTGTTTTATTGAGTGTAAGAGTCTAGATAACAAAGACGTAAGTAGAAGGTTCCATAATACAAACTGGTACAAGTACAGAGGTCCATCAGACCATTTTGCCTAAAATATTTATTAAGTTAAGTTACCGATATTTCTCAAGCCCTCAAATCGTTAGGCTTATTCAGGCCGGGCTAAAAAGCTCTTATCTTAAATGAGCTCCAAAAATCTTAGCTCAACCCTATTAAATATCAGGTTAGGCCAGGTCGATCCAATAGGCCTAACCCATATTGACGGTTCTAAATGTACATTAATTGGCGAGGACAAAATAAAAAATATAACTTGAATTTTATCTAATATATTTTTAATAATATTTATTCAAACATGTTGTTTATATCCAAATTTCAAAGATAAACAAAGATCAGGAAAATTCTTTCTTTTAGATTTTACTCCAATGAAAAAAAAGACATAAACTATTTATTAAATTTAATGAATTTTATTTAATATAATTGCTTATTAAATACTTTTATTAATTTTAATATTTATTCATACTTGGTGTCCATATCCATTTTCTCATCCTAGTCAACTCTAGAAAGCAAGGCAGAAACTCTTTCTTCCTAGATTTTACTTCGATGAAAACACAACAAAGTTATTTATTAATTAATTTTTTTGCGAAATAGAATAAGAATACATTGAATATTATCTAATATAATTTCATTTAATATTATTTATAATTATTTATTCACACTTTGTATTGATATTCATTTTCTCATTCTAGTCAACTCTCATTATATTCAAATTCAAAAAAATAAAAAATTTAAAAACACACACAAAACTGTCTTCTAGATTTTAGTACAATGAAAAAAAATACATATATTAAATTTAATGAATTTTATTTAATATATTTTTTATTAAATATTTTTATTAATATTTATTCACACTTGGTGTCTATATCCATTTTCTCATTATAGACAACTCTCATTATATTCAAATTCCAAAATTAAAACAAGAAAACTAATTAGGAAAACTCTTTCTTCCTAGATTTTACTCCATAAAAAAATAGGTTCTTATTTATTAATATTTTTCTCTATTTGGGAGGACAAAATAAGAAATATATTGAATTTAATCTAATATAATTTCCTATTATATATTTTTATTAATATTTATTCACATCTTATGCCTACATTTTCTCTGTTCCAGTCAACTCTCATTATGTTCAAATAAAAAATGAAAACAAAATAGGATCCCTTTAAATTTTATTCCAATGAAAAATTAGCTAAATTATATATTAATTTACTTTTATTGACAAGAAAAATTCAATATATATTTTTAAAAAGTATTTATTTGAACCTGATATTTATATCCACCTCCTCATTCTAATCCACTCTCATTTTGATTTTTGACCAAATCCCAAAATTAAGGAGACAAAATCAGGATCTCTTTTTCCTGAATTTTTATTCCAATAAAAAATTAGCTAAGTTATTATTAATTTACTTTTATTAGTGAGGCTAAATAAAGAAATAAAATAATTTTTAATTAATATAGTACATCTTATAAAATGTTTCACCAATAAAAGAATACACACTTTATTTTATTTTTTAAAATTTTTTAGTACTAGTATATTCTCCTATTCACATCCCTTTCATGCCTATATAAAGAAGGCTACCACCATCTCCATTCTTCAACAACAACAACAAAAAAAAAGATCACCTCATTCACTAAACAAACTTCATTTGTCCATTCTACATAACAAAAAAATAGGAACATGGTTAATTACTTTGAAATATTTCTCTATATCTCTATGTTTGTTCTTGGTTACTTGTCTTATTATTTTTGTTTTGGCAAAAATAACAATTCATCATCCAAGAAAAATGCTTATAAACTTCCTCCTGGATCAATGGGATGGCCTTATATTGGTGAAACTCTTCAACTTTACTCTCAAGACCCTAATGCCTTCTTCATTAATAGGCAAAGAAGGTACCATTTCAAATTTGTTTTAATTTTTTTTTATTTTTCACTTCGTACATACGTCTACGTCCCTGCCCTTTGTACAACCTATCAGAGTTAAAGTTAACCCTGATAAGCGTTTTGTTTCAATGTGAGACTTTATGATACGAATAACATTAATTATTTTTTTTTCAGGTTTGGTGAAATTTTTAAGACAAAAATTCTAGGTTGTCCATGTGTGATGTTGGCAAGTCCAGAAGCTGCTAGATTTGTACTAGTGAACCAAGCAAATTTGTTTAAGCCAACTTATCCTAAAAGTAAAGAGAATTTAATTGGTCAATCTGCAATTTTTTTTCATCAAGGAGATTATCATAATCACCTTAGAAAACTTGTTCAAGCTCCTTTAAATCCAGAATCCATTCGAAATCAAATCCCTTATATCGAAGAATTATCGATTTCTGCATTGAATTCCTGGGTTGGAGGACATGTTGTCAACACTTATCATGAGATGAAAAAGGTTGGTCATCTTACCTTAAAAGATTCATAGTTTGTTTGATCAAATTTTCGTAAAATCAACTTATTTTGAAAAGTACTTTTTGTTCGTAATTTTTTTCCAAAAAAGAAAGTATTTTTTGGAGAATAGTTATTTGTGTTTTTGGTTAATCGTTATGTATGATCAAGTTTTGAGAAATTGAAACACTTATTTAATTTTTATCCAAAAAAATTGACCAAATTCTCAATTTTTCTATTATAAGCACCTTTTATAATTTTGGTCAAATGAACTTTTAATTTTTGTTGATAGTGTTGGAAAAATAAAATCTTGACCTTTTTTTTTGTGTTAGTTTTCTTTTGAAGTAGGTATACTTGCTATATTTGGACATTTGGATGGTCATGTTAAGGAAGAATTGAAGAAGAATTATAGCATAGTTGATAAAGGTTATAATTCATTTCCAATAAATTTGCCAGGGACTCTTTACAGAAAAGCCCTTCAAGTAAGTGTCATTTTTAGTCATACATCACTTATATTTAATATCGAGGTGTATAGAAACTGATCCGATCGTGTTTTGATTATTATTTTGTGTGTGTAGGCAAGAAAGAAACTTGGGAAGATTTTGAGTGAAATAATAAGAGAAATGAAGGAGAAGAAGACACTAGAAAAAGGGTTGTTGAGTTGTTTCTTGAATGCTAAAGAAGAAAAAGGATTTTTGGTATTAAATGAAGATCAAATTGCTGATAATATAATTGGAGTTTTATTTGCTGCACAAGATACAACAGCAAGTGTTTTAACTTGGATTATAAAGTATCTTCATGATAATCCAAAGCTTCTTGAGTGTGTCAAGGTAAAAAAAGAAAAAAACATCTAGAACATTCTATTTTTAATTATTTTTTCAAAAAAAGAATTATTGAGTTGAAGACACTTTAGTCTTGGCATTTAATATTTGGCAATAATTATATATGCAGGCTGAACAGAAAGTTATTTGGCAGTCAAATGAACAAGAAAATCATGGGTTGACATGGACACAAACAAGAAAGATGCCTATCACTAGCAGGGTAAGTGTGTAGATTCAGTAACGGAGTTAAAATTTTAAGTTTATAGATTTTAAAAGATAAACTTTTCGTTTGAACTGTAGCTCCACGTTTGTTACTAATTGGGAGACAATGACTTTCTTAACAAAAGTTGTAGGACTATGATAGTTTAATATTAATAAATTAACTTCTTGACTATATTTGGCGTTTAGGTTGTTTTGGAGACACTGAGAATGGCTAGTATCATATCTTTTGCATTTAGAGAGGCTGTAGCTGATGTGGAATACAAAGGTAAGCCAATTGAAAAAGTACTAGTTGCTCGAATTCTTTAGAAATATAATCATACACATGTTAAATTCTTTTAAAATGAATAATTTGACATATCAGTTAAGATAATATTTTTGAAAAAACTAAGCAAAATATATACGTCAGTGATATTGATTCTCTGTATATTATCAATGCACAAAATTTAAACTCTCTTAAAATGTGGGGTGTAGGATACCTAATTCCAAAAGGATGGAAGGTGATGCCTTTGTTCAGAAATATTCATCACAACCCAGAGTTCTTTCCTGATCCACAAAAATTTGATCCTTCAAGATTTGAGGTACAATAATACCCTTATGATTTTATTTACCTACCCCAATAATATACTTTACTAGTTCAAAAATAATAAAAATTGTACATTACTAATATTTATTCATATTTTATATTTTACAGAATGCGCCGAAACCCAATACATTTATGCCATTTGGCAGTGGTGTACATGCTTGTCCAGGGAATGAACTTGCCAAGCTGGAAATTCTCATTATGACACATCATCTAGTCACTAAATTCAGGTACTTCAATAATTTTTTTTTTAATATAATAATGTACCTTCCATCATATGATCATGATATGTTAAATCATGAGTAATTATTAGTGTTCCTCAAAAGTAACTATTTGTAACAAACTTCATTAAACATATAAAAGTAGATAAAAGGTGTGATTTTTTTGGAGTAATAGTAATTACTATGACTCAGATCGATGATAAGTCGTTATATTCTTGTGTGACGATCTCTTATTCAAGAAACACATGCAATATGTGAAATACACATCGAAGTTGGGATCTAGATGTCTCGTTTAGATTATTTATCATGTTTGTAATTATCTTATAAGGATGTTATTTATGTCAGATAAAATTGATCTGACTCAAAAAAGAAACTGAGACGTAGTCGATTGATTGATTTTTTTATTTTTTATTTACAGGTGGGAAGTGGTAGGATCTGGTAGTGGCATTCAATATGGACCATTCCCAGTCCCATTGGGTGGACTAGCTGCAAGATTTTGGAAAACTACATCAACCTAATGGCTCTTTTGATTTGCATATCTCAATGATTTCATCAATCTTATCCAAAATTGTTGCTTATCAACCCCAAACCCCACCTCCCAAAAAACATATAAGGGGATGAAAGAGATCTCCAAATTAGTACTTATATATTTCAAGAATTTTACTTAATTTTGAGTACCTTTACAGCTAGCAACATTTTGTAACATTTCAATTTTTTTTCAAGAATTGGAATACACAAAGTGTAAAATTTGATGACTCAATTCTTTTGGTTTCTTTAATTTAGCTTTTGTTTGACAAAAAAAGCAAATAGACTTTGCCCATGTGTTGGGGATTGGCAAAAAATGGGATGTTTTTTTTTAATTAAAGTGTCTTGTGTTTTTGCCATGTGTCTTGTTAAGAGTACAAGTCCTTGTTGTAAGGTCCTTATCAAAGTGGTTATTGAGGAGCCAAGTGTTGGAGTTTATATTGGTTGAGGTAAGAAGTGGTGGGTGATCTCTAAGCTGGAGAGCACAATACCCAAAAGAAAAAAAAGGGGGGGTGGGGGACTTATGATTGACCTTGTACAATGTGCTAAAATGTGGCTACTAGAGTTTGTGGCTTTTGAAGAATTTTACCCTTCTTGTTCACTGCATGTACACTTTTCTATACAAGGGGTCGTCTTTTTTGTTTGTAATAGAGATTTCTTGATTCAATTTCGAATTAAGTTGAATTTCTATATAAATATAGACCGTCAAATGAGACGAAAAAAAGAGAGGAGATAAATGTTGTTCAATGAGAATTCCAATCAAGATATCTATTGTTTGATATGAGATAGGCGTCAATTAGCTTGGTATTCCGTTTCTATTTCGTATATTTCAAAAAGAGTGATACATTTCTATGTTTGCATTAACTTTTTACCATCTAAGTCAATTCTAAAAGTTAACACATGAAGTCTGATTTGTTCAAAAATCATATAAAGTAACGCGTCTGTTAAAGCAATCGGGCAAATGCGTGTATACTAGCTTACTAGCTATAGCTGTTACTGTGCTTTCTGGATACCTTTCCATGTCTACTCACCGACATGGGAACTCAACACCCTTCCTCTTAGGGCATCCATGCATTGAGATGTGGAGTGTGGACAATATGATACAAGGATTGAAATTCAGGTAAATCGCGACTGGGATGGACTTAACTTTAATATCATGAAAAGAAGATAGACTTTGAACCTATCTCACCCAAAAGTTAGCTCGTGAGATGAAAGTTTTCCAAGACTAAAATAGACCAAAGAACCCATCAACTTTTGGTAGGTTTAGATGAATACAAAAACCTAGTTAGGTATTGAAATAGTTTTTGGTTTTTGATGCATTTTTAGATTACGTGTCAACCCCATGTTCGATCAAAAACTATCAAACAATTGGATGGTTGATTAACAATATACCTGGTGAAATCACATAATTAGGTCTGGGGCCCAGCTAACGCGTGAAACACTCCGCCTGGGGAGTACGGTCGCAAGACCGAAACTCAAAGGAATTGACGGGGGCCTGCACAAGCGGTGGAGCATGTGGTTTAATTCGATACAACGCGCAAAACCTTACCAGCCCTTGACATATGAAACGTACCTTATTCTACCTCGTAGAAGTAGAGAGACTTTTCCCGAAAAAGGAAAAAGAATGAGATGGAAGACAACAAATTAGATAAGAGCTGCAGCCAATCTCTAAAGATAAGCACAGGCACTTACCTTGAATACATGTAAATTTGCAGTCATGGTAAAAAGAACTCGAATTCGAGGTTCTATACAGAAGTTTCATACTAATGCTCATCATCAGCTGCTTGTATATATTTCATTTTGCTAAGGTCCCTTTTCATATATATCTTAACTTTCCCACAGTTTCCAGAACTTTGGACATTTTAACTGTGGGAGAAGGATTGGCTCTGGCCTCTAGGGATGGGCACGGAGTCCCAGACCCGAGCCTGTCTCCTGTCAGTGGGCTACTCGAGCTGCTACAACTGCCAACGACAGCATACTAAATAGCAATGCATTTGCAAGAAATCTAAAAGATGTCAACCAGCTAAAGCTCAGGAGTGGCGTCTAATACAAAATGGATATAAGTAAAGGACTATCAATATACAAGAGTATCCAGTATCCATGCTTATTTAAGTAGAACAGCAAGTACAAAGATATTATAATACAGATGTGGTAACGAAGAAATTGTTTCAATGTGTGCTGAGCACCAAGAATGATTATATAGAAGCACTAACATTATGTAGAAGCAAGTGCAAACCAGACCAATTCAAGCATCCGCGGAAGCTGGAGCAGAGTATTTAAGAATAGCTGCAAGTATCCTTTCTTTGTCTCGGGTGGGAAAAGCTTCCAATAGGACTCCATTTTTATAAAAGTGAAAAAGAGGTACTGTCTGCATGAAGTCAATCAAATTTGAGATAAGCAACTTTTTGTAGCCTAAGCAATTCGAGACGTAAAAGTTCTAGTTGCATTAGAGACTTCTAAATTGATTTTAAGCCATTAAAATGTCTCACCTTGATTCGCAGTCGTTCAGCAACCTCAGATTGTTCATCATACTCATCGATCACCTGGAGAGACGGGAATGATTAGTCATACTATCTTTCATTTCATTATAGGAAAAAAGTGAAAAGGAAATGCATTTGCTACTAACAAGTCTAGACTAATACAGAAATGCTCCACGCTTAGACCAAAATATGCAATGAATAGGTTAATATCAATTTAAATGAATCCAAAAACCTTCAAGGAGAAATGTAGATAACCATTTGTTTGCCAAGCGTCCTCGTGATGTTTTATATTTACGCGGAAGAAATGAAGTGAAGTGATCAAGGCTTTTCCTTTTTAATATTAAGTCTAATGAAGTACTTACATTGTGCTTTAAGAAGATAACTGGTGCTTGTTCATCACCAGCTCCCCTGCATAATTTTTGAAACCCCTGCTCTATGTACTTGCAGCTTCCACAGGCGGTGCGAAAGAAGTCTACCACAACCAAAGAACCAGCCTTTTTCGCCTTTTCCAATATTATGGAGAATTCCTCATCAGTCTTAAATTCTCTTACACATTCAACAGGACATAACTCGTCCTCTTCGTCAAGTAGTTCATCAATGTTGTCACTAACCGTGCTATGAATTTCTGAGCATTGACGCAGTAGACTTTGAAGTGTGACATTCAGATCACCATGTCTAAGTTTTGAACAAAGTCTTGTCCTTGGATGATATGATTTACTGCCTCTTCTACAAGAAAATGAGTGAAGCAATGTATGGGCTGATTCACCATCTAGTAGATTTATGCATCGAAAACTCAAGTTACACTGCCAATCAAGAATGCTTAGTCTTTGCATGAGTCTGTATTAAGAACTATATTTCCTCCAGATGGAAAGCTCTTAGAGATTTTCGACGAGCAAAAGCTAACATCCACACATAATAAAGCGACAATTCCTTGTGGTTTTTCAGATCAAATTCTCATTTATGAGATTACACCGTAGAGTCTGCTGAAATCAGAAGGCAACCTTTCATGAGTCAAAACGGAATTCTTTTTTGTTGTTGTTTACAATAAAGAGGCTACCACATGTATTTCATAAATTTTTAAACTAGGAATGACAAAAACAGATAAAAGAAAAAAGATCAACTTGATTCTCACTGATTATAACACACAACAGTCAAGCAGAAGCATGTTTGTGAGGTCAAGAAAAAACCATCTTGCTACATATACAACTACAAAACTAGAGAACACAAACGCGTAATTGTATCCATTTCAGCATGATCCTGCACTCCAACAGAAAATATGCTCTACAAGTCTCTTTACATGCAGATCGAATATGCCACATTAGGAAACAAAGAGTTAAAAATTCTTGTTCCAGCAAAAAGTGGAGTCTATAACAAAATACAAGCTTTGAAGGATTCAGTATGCTATATATAATGGTTCTAAGTCTAGCTATATCTTTCTTCATCTGTTCACTTTGGTTATACTTGCTAAGGCCTCATTTGTTTTCACTAAGATTACATCAGAATCTGAATGCACATCTTAAGATTTTGTATCTAGATCTTAACACTGAATGATTTAACAATATTTGTTTTTAAACATCTGAATATAATCTACCCCATTTGAGAACCAACGACTTCGTTGGTCAGAGTTGGCATCGCTCTTGGTCCAGGCCACCAATTCCAATCGCGCTGCATTGATCCACCCGCTCTGATAACAATGTTATAGATCAAACAGTGGATCCCAACCAAAAGACTAGTTCTTTTAGTGATAGAGCTAAATTTAGCCTATAAATATTGGCACATAACAAGTTCAAGTAGAGATGAAGACAAAACAAAGAATGCCCACAAGCAAATAGTATGAGTTAATGCTCCCTTAATTAGATACTTCATCCCAATTCAAGTGTCTTACTTTTTCTTTTTGGTCTGTGTCAAAAAGAGTCCTTTTTCCTATAATTAGTAAGTGTTTCAATTCCAACATTTTTCACAAGAAGTTTAAGAGTACAAGATTTAACGAACTATACACACTTTTAATTTAATCACACAAGATTCAAATATATCCCTTAATTTCTTAACTCCGTGCTTTGTCAAACTAAAACACTTGCTAAGAAAGGACGGAAGCCGTATAATTAGTCTACATAATAAGATAAATCAGCCACAAAGAAAGAATTTTTTTTTGGTTTTCCATCCGATGCCCCCTATTCACATTAGAGCTGACTAAATCCGAATTTCCACCAAGAAGTCCACATTGGGGTAAAAGGCTTCCTGGCAATTTCATACCAAAGAGACTCAAACCCCGAACCTCTTGATTAACGATGAAAGAGTAACCTTATCAGTACAAATAAAGAATTACTACACCAATTTGTCAAACAAAAGCTAAATGATATCAACAAATATGAAGAAAAGGTAACAGTTTTAAATTGGTAAACTAAAAAACAAAGCAAAATTTTAAATGAATGAGAGGAAGAAACAAAAGGGATATGATGTAAGTTTTAGAAGAGATCCGTAAATTACCAGTTAGCAGCAATGGCGCGAGTCTGCAACACAGCAATAAAGAAGCAATTTTTATTTGGATGAGAAAAAGGACACGTTTGGCTACTTATCATTTTATCCACTTCACATTTGGGGCCCTTTACAGGTTTTAGACCAATCAATTTGCTGATTTTTCTATTTTCCATCCGTCAAATGCTGAGAAAATTGCACTATCCATTTATTGCGAATACAACACGCTTCTGGAGGGTGATAAATATTTAAACTTATCGCATCGTTATAATATAAATGATCAAATAAATAATTTAAAAAATTTATCTAATACCTCTTATCAAACTCTCGAGATTATATCCTAGTAATTTCTCCAATTTCTACCCTATTCATCACCCCAAGCTCATTGTAAGTTATGGATTTAGCCCATGAACCTAGTTTATAGGTATATGGATCTGAGTAAAGCCCAAAGTATCAACATAATGGGGCTCATAATAAAGCCCATTCAATCTAGTACAGTTACAATTGGAAGAAGCTTCTATTTTGTAATTTGTATAGTTTCCTTGCATGACTGGACCAACTATTCTTTTATTACTATTCTTACTTTTTCCGTTTCAAAATAAATATTTATAATTTATCAAAAAAAAATTATTTATTAAATACTTTTTTTAATTCATAAATTATTAGATTTTTTGACACATTAATTGTAAGTTATTTTCACTATCATTTTTTTCATTGTTTTCAAACTATTCATCTAGAAAATGTAAAACAGTAAATAGTTTCATAATTCGGGAGTATCTTTTGATAATTGAACATTATTAAATTGAAATAGCACTTTATTACCTCCGTTTCTATATTTATGCCAGCATTTTAGGTTTTGCGTTTCTAAAAAACTAAGTTTATCATTGTATTTTTGGGGCTCGTTTGGTGTAAAAGATCAGATATAATAGCAATGAGATAAAAAAATTATGTTGTTTGATTATCATGTTTGGGATAAGTTATGTCATATACATGGTGAGATAAGTAATACCAAGATAGCTAACCCGAAGATAACTTATCCTGGAATAACTTGTTTCCAAACAAACAATCTCTTATTTAGTGTTTTATTGAAGTCAAATTTTCAATAAACGAATATAAATTAATTAGATTGATTAATAAACATGAAATAATCCTTTAGTTTTTCTAAATAAATCAAATTTGTACTTTCGAGATTAATAACTATCTAAATAAAATATAAAAAGTAGTGTTATTTATATAATGATTTTGTGCAACAATAAATATTAAAAATAAATATATTTTTTAAATAAAAATGATATATAAATTGAAACGAAAGATCATATATATTACTCTCTCCATTATTAAAAAGGATGGTTTAGTTTGATTTGAAATGGAGTTTAAGAATTTTTTTTTAAAATTTTGTGGTTCTAAATTAAAGTTGTGTCATATATACCAAAATGTCCTTTAATTTTGTGATCTTAAATATGTCACGTAAAAAGTTAAAATTAAAATTTTGCCAAAAGAAAAAAGGAGGGATCATTTTCTGTGAAACGGATTAAAAAGGAACAATCTTTTGAAACAAACGAATTAAGAATTAACTAATCATGTACATTGAATTGCGTGTCCATCTCTTGTCACCAACTTATCTTACTTGCATTTATTACTCGTCTTCTTCATTGGTAACCAAAACTGCAATTTTTTTTTAAATATTTCTTCCACCAAATTCCAAATTTCCATCTCCCATTAATACTCTACGGCTACTCTCTCTATATAATAGGAATTACTTTTTCTCTACCTCATAATTCTCTATTCTTTTACTTTTCGCATTAACATCAGCCATGGCCGAAACTTCTACTCAGCTCAAATCAGATGCTATATTCGATCAATTGAAACTTCATCTTTCTACTGATGCTGGCAAGGAACTCATTAAGAAAATTGGTCTCGTTTACCAAATCAACATCGCACCTAAGGTTTAATTTTCCCCTAATTTTTGTATAGATGTTTTTTTTTTTATCTTGTGTTAATTTGATTTTTTTTTTTAAATTTTTTGATTGGTAGAAAATTGGATTCAATGAGAAGGCGTATGTTGTTGATCTGAAAAAGGGAGAAACAAAGGAAGGTTTGGTTATTTTTCCCTTTTTTTTTTTACTTTTTAAAAATTCGTTATTGGAATAATAGAGCAGTATATGTAGAGAATTTATGTTAAAAGGATCCAGATTTATCAGTTTCTAGGTCAGGTTTCCAATTGAATATTTTGGATCCGAATTGAATTTGGGTATTTTGTTATTTGGGAATTTAGGGCCATACGAAGGTGGGAAGCCTGATGCAACTTTTTCATTTACTGATGGTGATTTTGTGAAGATTGCCACTGGGAAAATGAACCCTCAAATTGCTTTTATGAGGTACTATTATTGTTTAGTTCTATATTGCTCGGACTTTTTAAAAATGTCTCAGATGCATGCTGGATCCTCGAAAAGTAGTAGAGTAGTGTATTTTTGGAGGATTAGGCACGAGTGTGACCATATTTTTTCTGAGCTTGAGCAACACAAGTTCTATTTACCTTTTTCAGTTGTTCGGATTCTTTGTTTTGGCACACTAAAAGTTTCGAGCTTTTTTTGGTAATATGTTATTTTCGATTGGATCTTGATGCAGGGGTGCGATGAAGATTAAGGGAAGCATAAGTGCAGCTCAGAAATTCACACCTGATATTTTCCCTAAGCCTTCAAAGATGTGAACGAATCTGCTGAAATATCAGTAGAAAGACTGTTCATTTAGGTTTTCTTCTCTCGAGTCACAAAATCAGATAATACGATAAGAAATTATGGGGGATTTATAATGTATCTGTCTGTTCTTAGGTATAATTATGTGTTCCTTTATAATGTAGTAATGAAATTCTGGGCTTATTTTAAAGGAACTGAAATATAAATGTCCGCATTTTACTATGGCAGATTCGCTGTTAGAGCCTTATAATTATGTCTTATCATTTTATACTAAGATCATATTACAGATGATGAAAACTGATATTGCATTACTTATTCTGTTTTATACAAGTCTTGTAACTGCTGTTTGTGAGTTGTGACTGTAAGATAAATTGGTTCAGCCTTCTGTGGCATTAGCGGCGATCTGATTATACTCTCATCATCTTATCGAAGTTGCTCATGTAACTTTGTCCTTGATAGTTGGCTAATACTACAACTGGAATTAAGTGTAGTAATTCGGAACTCTGTTGGAAGTGCTAATGCTTAAGTGCTGGTTATTGTAAACAGTAAACCCCATCCGAGTTATTATACAGGGCTGATGAAATGCTGCTCATTTGCAATGGTGATGTAACTAGATGCTAGTAAAACACAATAGCTGGTTGAAAATGTTGGATGATTGTTCAACGTTACATCTCACAGAAACCTTATCGTGGATTAACATTTTAGTTGATCTGAAAGAACCTTATTTTAAATGCGAAAGCTTGTTACAGATTTGAAATTTATGTATTTATCTATAGCATTAGAAATTATAAGAGTTGTTAGCTTCACTTGGCTTACTGTTGTGCTCAAAGCAACTTCATCATCATACAGTATGGTTTTGATATGCTCTTCCATTATCACTGAGCCTTATGATTATGTTTTACGAGCTTATAATATCACTGATGGTGATTCAGTATTGTGATTATGTCCTTCGTTGATTATTCTGTTTCATACAAGTCGTGTAATTTGCTGTTTGTGACAGTACGATAGATCGACTCAACCTTCTGAGGTATTAGTTGAAGTTCATGTAAATTAGCTTTGTTTATCATAGTAGCATTTGATTATTGATGCTCTGTAGCTAATGATAAGCCATTGGAGGGAAGCAAGCTTTCTAAATGAATCTACGAATGGATGATAAAGTTCATGAATATTTTTGTTACTTCTGCAGTCAGATCATGAGTTATTGAGTCTATTGTTTTTTTAAGCCTGTTTCAGATGATCCATCATCAGTAACAACATACACGGTGTAGTCCCAAATCCATCATATGCACCTTCTTTTCTTCAATTTGGTCTTGTTTTTTTTTTCATGATGTCATTGAATTATTCAAGAAGTCACTTCGAGCATAATGATTTTTCAAAATCCACCTTTGTTCAAGCACTACCACGTCTTTTCATCTAGCCCACAACCGTGGTGGAGGATCTAGAATTTTCATGAAAGGATTCAAAATTTACAAACATATATATACACTATACACTATGAATCCACTAATACTAGATGGTGCACCTGTGCCCCCACTCATGTGAAAGCTTATTCTCAATTTTTTATTTTCCACAACTTAAATACAGACCGCACAACTCCCGTGTCTTGTGTGCTCGTCGCTCAGCATGCAAGTCGAGAAAAGAAAGACCAAAACAATGAAAACTTTACGAAAAATCAAAAAGTTGAAGGACTTTAACGTCGAGATCTCTCGTAGAAAACCTCTTTTGTAAGGTTGCATACAATACTTTTTTTTCAGACTTTACTTATGGTATTATACTGAATATGTTATTGTTGTTATAGTAGTTGAGTGACGTTTGAGGGAATTTCTAGTCCGTTAATCTTGTACTCAGTGTGTCTACTTTTCAAAAAAGTCAGTTTTTCAGTCTCTAAAACACATTTAAATAAGAGTTTCTTTGCCCATCTTTTGTTCCTCATCCTAGGCTTGGAGTCAACACAACACAACAACAATGAATTTCCATTTTTCTTGTTTCTTTACTTCTCTCTTTATCTCTTCCTATGTTTGCCTCTTCGACGGTGTTATTTCAGGTATCCATCTCCAAAGAACCTTATTTTTCTCTTAACTTTTCCTATGTATATGTATCTCTATGTTTATGTAGTACTTGCTCAAGTATATAAAGAAAAGTTAGTTTCTCTAGAATCTTTGAATTCATTTGTTAGGGGTTCAATTGGGATTCGAGTAATAAGCAAGGCGGATGGTACAACTCTCTCATCAACTTAGTTCCGGACTTGGCTAAAGCTGGAGTTACTCATGTTTGGTTGCCACCATCATCTCACTCCGTTTCTCCTCAAGGTAATTTTCGGAGTGATTGTGACCTAGTAATCAATGAAGTCAAAATAACCACGGAAGATTAGAGTCTAAATTTTAATGAAAATAGTTCAGACAAGTTAATGACCAACTTATATATTAGTTCAATCCATAAAATTTGATGTAGTAGTTACAAAATGGAATTGCTTGAAGGCTTATGCCATGTTTTATGCCAGGTTATATGCCAGGAAGGTTGTATGACTTGGATGCTTCCAAGTTTGGAAATCAGCAACAACTGAAAACTCTTATTAAGGCTTTACATGACCACGGGATCAAATCGGTTGCTGATATAGTGATAAATCATAGAACTGCTGATAACAAAGATAGCAGGGGAATATACAGCATCTTTGAAGGAGGAACATCTGATGACCGGCTTGATTGGGGTCCATCTTTCATTTGCAAGAACGACACACAATATTCTGATGGCACGGGGAATCCAGACACGGGTTTGGACTTTGAACCTGCACCTGATATCGATCATCTTAATACGAGAGTGCAGAAAGAGTTATCAGACTGGATGAACTGGCTGAAATCTGAAATTGGATTTGATGGTTGGCGTTTCGATTTTGTTAGGGGATATGCACCTTGCATTACCAAAATTTATATGGGAAACACGTCCCCGGATTTTGCTGTTGGTGAATTGTGGAACTCTCTTGCTTATGGCCAGGACGGGAAACCGGAATATAACCAGGACAATCATAGAAATGAGCTAGTTGGTTGGGTAAAAAATGCGGGGCGGGCTGTAACAGCTTTTGATTTTACAACAAAGGGAATTCTTCAAGCTGCAGTTCAAGAAGAGTTATGGAGATTGAAGGATCCCAATGGAAAACCTCCTGGGATGATCGGTGTTTTGCCTCGAAAAGCTGTGACTTTTATCGATAATCATGATACTGGATCGACACAAAATATGTGGCCTTTCCCTTCAGACAAAGTTATGCAAGGATATGCATACATTCTTACTCATCCAGGAATCCCATCCGTGGTAAAAAAAATAAATAAATTCTTTCTACATATCTCATTGTTTTCTATTTTACAAGAAATTTATATTCTTTTCCAGGGGATTTGAGAAACTCGGCCTGTGGGAGTTTGCTCACATTGCCAGTCTCGTAATCCATAAACAAACACTCAAACTCTGAGTGTGCACATCTAGACACCTCAACTCGTTTTCACCGTGTTAATTGAACACTTCAACTTACAAAATGATCGTGTAGCACCTCCAAAAATTATGTGTCACATTAGCCACGTGCGAGATACACGAGAATGAGTTGGAGTAGTTAGTTGCCAGATAAAACCAAGCTGAGGTGTCTAGATGTGCACTCTCAAAGTTGGAATGTTTACTTGACAGCTGAGGCCGAGGCCATGTTTGAGTGTTATGCTTATAGAATATGACTCATTTGTTTTCGATTAGCTGAGGAGTTGATTAAATTCTTGTTTTTGTTTGCAGTTTTATGACCATTTCTTTGATTGGGGCTTCAAGGATGGAATTTCAGCACTAATCTCTATTAGGAAGAGGAATAGGATTTGTGCAACAAGCAATGTGCAAATAATGGCTTCTGATTCTGATCTTTATATAGCAATGATTCATCACAAAATCATTGTCAAGATTGGACCAAAACTTGATCTTGGAAATCTTATTCCACCTAATTATGAGGTGGCAACTTCTGGACAAGACTATGCTGTATGGGAGCAAAAGGCATAATCATATTGTACCACACTAAAAGGGACCATGGCCACAATGGTTCTCATTAGTGTTAATGTTATATGATTGAAAATGTAATTTATATTGACATAATGAAGGCCAAAAATTCAAGAAATTATAAACAATTCAATAGTCCTTGCTCAATTCACAATTACATTATGACTTCTCTATTGCAAACTAGTTTTGGTCCACATTATTGTCTTCTAAAATTTTACAACATTTCTTAAGGGAACTTAATTAGTTACAGTGAACATATGTTGAAATTACTCTTTATCCCCTTACAATTGATTTAATAAATATTTCGCCTATTCTCTTTGGTAGTTGGTTAGAGTTATAAGTAACGTAGAGATTAGTTATAAGAGAATTTATGTATTATTATGCAGATGTTAGTTATATCGATTTTAGTTATTTATATGTTGATTATTTCACCTTCAATAATGCATATAAAGATGGTAAATGATTGGATTGATCGAATTCGAATGAGTTTGAATATGAACTAATCTTCAAATTTAATATAAATTTTTTTTGTCAACATCTATAGCCAAACGGCTCCAAACAATAAATAATTTCATTTATTGTAGTATTTTATTTAAAATGGGATCTTCCTCATCCCACTTGTACCAGTTGAAACCCTAATAATAAGCCAATCCAACCGTCAAAATTCAAATTTTGAAAATTGCGCTCCTCACAGTTCTCCCCTATTCACTAAACTAAGATTCTCTTCATTTTTTGTTTTCACATTTTCCTCTAAATCAACAAAATTCCCTTTGTTCAAATGGGTGCTAATCACAGCCGTGAAGATCTGGAGCTTTCTGATTCCGAGTCTGAATCCGAATATGGGTCCGAGTCTCGAACAAGGGAGGAAGAGGAAGACGAAGATAACTACTCAGATGCTAAAACGACGCCGTCTTCCACTGATCGGAAACAGAGCAAAACCCCGTCTTCTTTGGATGATGTTGAAGCAAAGCTGAAAGCTTTAAAGCTTAAGTATGGTACTCCTCATGCTAAAACCCCCACAGCGAAAAACGCTGTTAAACTTTACCTTCATGTTGGTGGGAACACTGCGAATTCCAAATGGGTAGTTTCTGATAAGGTGACAGCTTATTCGTTTGTTAAATCGGGTAGTGAGGATGGATCGGATGATGATGAAAATGAAGAAACTGAGGAGAATGCTTGGTGGGTTTTGAAAATTGGGTCGAAGGTTCGGGCTAAGATTGATGAGAATTTGCAGCTCAAGGCATTTAAGGAGCAGAAAAGGGTGGATTTTGTGGCGAATGGGGTTTGGGCTGTGAGATTCTTTGGGGAGGAAGAGTATAAGGCGTTCATTGACTTATATCAGAGCTGTTTGTTTGAGAATACTTATGGGTTTGAGGCAAATGATGAGAATAGAGTTAAGGTGTATGGTAAAGACTTTATGGGGTGGGCAAATCCAGAAGCTGCGGATGATTCAATGTGGGAGGATGCTGGGGATAGCTTCGCGAAGAGCCCTGCGTCTGAAAAGAAGACACCTTTGAGGGTTAACCATGATTTGAGGGAGGAGTTTGAGGAGGCAGCTAAAGGAGGAGCTATTCAGAGCTTGGCATTAGGTGCATTGGATAATAGTTTTCTTATAAGTGATTCTGGAATTCAGGTTGTGAGGAACTATACTCATGGAATAAGTGGAAAAGGTGTTTGTGTCAATTTTGATAAGGAAAGGTCTGCTGTACCTAATTCCACTCCAAGGAAAGCTCTACTTCTAAGAGCTGAGACTAATATGCTTCTCATGAGTCCAGTGACTGATAGAAAGCCTCACTCTCGGGGATTACATCAGTTTGATATCGAGACTGGGAAGGTTGTTAGCGAGTGGAAGTTTGAGAAAGATGGAACTGATATCACGATGAGGGATATCACTAATGATAGCAAAGGAGCTCAGATGGATCCTTCGGGGTCTACTTTCTTAGGGCTAGATGATAACAGATTGTGTAGGTGGGATATGCGTGATCGGCATGGGATGGTCCAGAATCTAGTTGATGAAAGTACTCCTGTGCTGAATTGGACTCAAGGACATCAATTTTCGAGGGGAACTAACTTTCAGTGCTTTGCTACTACTGGTGATGGATCAATTGTTGTTGGTTCACTTGATGGCAAGATTAGATTGTACTCAAGCAGTTCCATGAGACAGGCTAAAACTGCTTTTCCAGGCCTTGGTTCTCCTATCACTCATGTGGATGTTACCTATGATGGGAAGTGGATATTGGGGACAACTGATACTTACTTGATATTGATATGCACCTTGTTTATCGACAAGAATGGAACTACTAAGACTGGTTTTGCTGGTCGCATGGGAAATAAGATTTCCGCTCCAAGATTGTTAAAGCTAAACCCTCTCGATTCACATATGGCTGGAGCTAACAAGTTCCGCAGTGCTCAATTTTCATGGGTATGAGTTTCTCTCCTCTTCTACCCTTACTTTTAGTTTGTAGCTGTTGTATATGTAGCATACACTTTGACTAGCATGCCTACTTTCTTCCTTCATGCAAACATAATAGTTTTCGCTTAGTTAATTCCTTATGGTGTGTGTTAAAAGCAAAGGAAACGACATTGATGTGTTTCTGAAATCTATATCTATATTGTCTATGCCTTTGTATTCTTCCTTTTAGTAATGTACTCCGATATCATATGTGATGGATTGTATATTCAGTCATAAATTCTAGGAGGTTTAAGAATGTTTCTAGCTCTCTACAGTCGTTTGATTATTTGCATCTTTTGCACTAATACAAATTGTAATTTGAGATCCACTGTTTGACTTGGTATGACTTTCTTTACCATTCTAATTGAAAAGGAACTTTATACTTTTGTACACCTTATCACTACGAAATATGCTCTTTTGCAATGCATGCTGTGAGATGGACTGGCTTTTGGAATTCCTATCAAATAATTTAGAGAGTGTTGTTATAATGAGATTTCGTGCAGATCATTCTTTCTTCAGCACAGCTATTCTTGATGATCTTTAGCTGATAAATTTTGTTGTAAGCACTTAGTCTTACTTATATGGTTGATAAGTCATGCTGGACTGGATTTAAATAAATTTCAGACTATGAAGTTCTTCCCTAACTAATTCATGTATGCGGATGTTAAAATTTGAAATATGGAGAAGAAATAAGTATAAATCAAAACTACCTCATCCTATGAGGAGTCATGCTCTTACATTTGATCATCCCTTGGTGGGAGAGTTATCATACTCGATTAACTATATTAGACTAAAATACTAAATTTAAAGGAGTAAGCATAAACAGTAGCTTGAAATAAGTTATGTATGTCTTTTCATCAGGAAGCTTAAATGCACTATGGATGAAGATTTTGTCGGCTTGTATATATTGCTTCTTTTATCCTATCCTACTATACTCCTTTCCTTTTAGAGTAAATCCTGCAAATTTGTACTGCTAGTGTTTGTTGATATAAATTGCTGATTGTCTTGTTAATTCTGTAGTCCTCCGATACTCATTTTCTTACTGTGAACCTTTTTTAGGTCACCGAGAATGGGAAGCAAGAGCGCCACCTCGTTGCTACTGTTGGGAAGTTTAGTGTGATCTGGAATTTTCAACAGGTGAAGGATGGTTCTCATGAGTGTTACCAGAATCAGGTTGGGTTGAAGAGCTGCTATTGTTACAAGATAGTCCTAAGAGACGACTCTATTGTAGAAAGTCGTTTCATGCATGACAAGTACGCTGTTTCTGACTCACCTGAAGCACCACTGGTGGTAGCAACCCCCATGAAAGTCAGCTCATTCAGCATCTCTAGCAGGCGCTTACAAATTTGAACAATCATTCTGTTCATATATGCAACTTATTAGATTTATCTGTAGCAGAATTAGTGTCTCTCACACTAAGTAGCTTGAAAAACTGCACATCTGCAAATCATTTCCAGTTCAATGTATTACTACTTTAGTTTAAAAACCTTAAAAGGCAGTCTTCCAAATTCTAGGTATCCTCACCTGACATTATTATTGTTGTAATAGCTAATTGTTGCTTGCTCTAAATCCCCGTTCAATGATTCCAGGTGACTTGCATTTTCCAATATTTCTGTTTTGCTCGGGACACATACCTATTGGTATGAAGTTGTTGACCTATTTTCAGTAGTCTCACTTCACCATTTTACTAATTATTTCTTTGGGATGTGTTAACTCAAACATGGACAAGTAAAATGGACGGAGGGAGCAACATTTAGATATCATTTACATAATGAACTTTGCCTCATGACCAGTTGGTCTCAGTTTTTTGGAAGTATTCATTTTCATAACCTCATAGGACGATGAAACAAAATATATCACAATCAAGACTGATGACATAAACTAGGGGAAATCGATACCAGCAGGCAATACTATGCAGATTGAATTAAAGAAAAAAATTCTATAATTGAATGCCTACCAAATAACGAAGCACTCACCCCAGTGTCATTGTTATTTACAAAACCAGGCAAAAATGAAATAGGAAGCCAGAAATAACGATTAAGCCGAATTTATCAACTCCTGTTGGCAAAACTAGAAGGAATGGATATTTGAAGCACCAGAAATGACATGAAACTAGCAGCCAAACCTACAGAAAGCTTATACCCCTCCTCCTATAATGCTATCTATGAGTGACTGAGAATTAATTTAATATTTGTACATGTGAAAGAATGCTCTGTATGTACATTATCGGGAAAGATTAACCTTCCGCTTTAACAAACGAGACAAACAGCCAAAGATCTGGAGAGACAAGTTTTTAAAAATGACAAGATGTTGAGCATGCAGCAATCATTGGGCAGACTTGGCCTGTGCTGCTTTCCTTCTGCCTAGAAACATGAAGATCCTTGGGAAGAAGGACCTCTTCTTTTTCTTTGGAACCTTCACATCTGGGGATGACTCAGCTTCAGTGCTGCTTGCTTGCAGTTGGGCTTTCGGACTTGTGCTGTCATAAGATGCAGTAGCCTCCGGTACACTTTCAGAGGTATTTGACTCATTGTTCTCCTCGTCGCTCTTTCTTGGACTTCCTGTTGTAGGTGGAATGGATACACTAGCTTTCCGTCTCTGCTCCTGCTCCTCTCTCCATTTCCTCAGCTCTTGCTCTACAGACAACTTCCCTTCCTTGGCTTTCTCAGCCTTTTGTAATGCAACTCCTAGAGCTTCCTTTCTTTCAGCTATCTCACGATTAACCTCTTCCAGCCTGTTTAGGCTTCTCAGCTCTGACTCCTTGGCTACATCTATTTGGGTATGAGCTTCAGCCACCTTCTTGTTAGCTTGCTCCTCTGCCTCATGCGCCTGCTTGCTGAGCTCATAATACTCCTCCAAAGATAGAGTCACTCCAGGTGGGGTTTCCTCATCTTTGGTTTTTTGAGCCGATTCACTCTCCTCAAGAGCAGCGATAGCTGCTAGCGCCAACTTCTCTGCAGCTTTCGCAGCCTCTATCTCCTTCTTAACTGCAAGTAGTCTACTTTCCACAGTACTTGCTCCAGCCTTTGCTTCCTCAGCTTCTTCCTTTGCCTTATTCAGATCATCCCTCGCCATTTGAGCTAGTGATTTTGCACGATCAGCCTCTTGGGATGCCTCTTGGAGTTGCTTGGGAAGCTCTACCATCTTCTCCCTTGCTTCTTTTTCCTTCTTCTGTGCAAGAACAATCTCTGACTGTGTCCTGCTCAACTCAGCTTCAAGAGATGCCGCAGCAACCGATGCCATTCCTTCTCTCTGTTGGAGCGCAGCTAGTTCTGACTTTTCTTTTTCCAATTCTGCTTTTAATGAAGTTGCTGCCACCTTCAAGAAATTTACTTCAGTTGTAGCCTTCTCGATGTTGAGTTTCACTTCTTCTAGTTCCCTCTTAGCTGTGGCCACTACTGATTGTATCTCATCGTGAGTTCTTTTCTCTGGATCTGACTGTTCGCCATTGAGGTTTCCTTCATCAGTTTCCTGCTTCAACTTTGATTCCATGTAAGCAGCCAACTCAGTTTTGAGATCCAGTAGCAAGGCTGAAGCAGTATCTAGTTTTCCTCTAAGATCCTTGGCAGACAGAATTTGCTGGTTTAGTCTGACAAGCTCCTCTTCTGCTTGCTTCAGTTCTTTCTCCCAGTTTAAAGCATCTTGCTCTCCTGCCATAGCTGCTCCAATTCTGTGTTCCTCAGCCTCCAAATGTGCAGCATGAGCAACCTCCAAAGATTCCTTTGCCGTGATTAGCTCTATAGTTAAAGTCTCCAATGTCTTCTCAACTTCTTTTGATGCAGAGACTGCTTCCTCTGCTTTTTTCATCGCACCATCTTTATCAGACACCAACAAGGCATAATCTTTTCGAAGATCTTCTAACTCAGATTTTACAGTTTTTAGCTCAGCAACTGCAGCTGCATGCCTGGCCCTAGCAACTTCAAGCTGTGCTTTCGCTGCAATACTAAGATCATTGCCAATCCCCTGCTCCATCTCCTCCACCCGAAGCTTGGCAAGTTCTGAATCCTGTTTTGCTTGTTGCTCTTCTTTTTGTGCTCTCTCCAGGTTCAGCTTCAATTCTTCTATAAGTCTCTTAGTGCCATCTAATTCCTTTAAGACAGACACTTTTGCATCTTCAGCAGCCTGAGACTGTTTTTTATAAAATGGGATCTCCTCCTGCACTTTTGCTAGTTCTTGTTCAACAAGTTGCCGCCTCTGCATTTGTCAGGAGAAAGTGATTTATAATAGTTAGGGACTAGAACATTAAATTGTGGGATTTAGACCTAAAAGAAACAGTGTACATGTCCATAAGATTTGTTTCCTTTTCATTTTGATATGGTGAACAACACCCCCAAACTCCCCTACCCATGACAATAAAGCCTATTGGCTGTTACCACCTTTGGTCTCTTGGTAATGGTGACTTGAACCCACAACTTCATAGTTGGAGGTAGAGGACCCTTTTAAACAGGCTATCCTCAAGTAGAGTCATAGATGCAAGTGCACACTTCAAAATTGAAACAGCTACTGGCTATTCAACAAAACTAATGTTTTTTGCAGATACAACTCTGACAGGAAAATTGTCTATCAGAAAAACAAAAAGATCAAAAAGTGTACATTACCTCCACAGTCTGTACACGATGAGCCTTCCAGTCAACGATCCCTCCAAACTTGGAAACTGCCTGCTTCACAGATTCAATTGGCGCTGCTGTATCGATATGGCCTTTGTTTATGTCAGATTTTTCAGGATGCTTCGGGCTAGCAGTGCGTGTTGAGGCCCTTGCTGAGAATGTGGAAGACTTAGCAAGGCGACCAATGTAATCTGGTGTCCGTATATGATGGTTATTTTCTGGTTTCTTCATCACTTGAGTGGATATAGGAGAAGAGTCATCCGTATCGATATGGGTACTACTACTAGAATTATCTGGCTGATGAAGCAGTGAGGCATTATTTGGTTCTACCTCTGAAAGATGAGACTGAACATGTGCAGAAGATTCCTTTGCTACTTCTGAATGGTTAGATTGAACTTGTTCAGAAGATACCTTCGCTTCTTCTGAATAATTAGATTGAACATATCCAGAAGATTCCTTTATATTTTCCTCTTTTAGGGTCGATGTGTCTGAATTCCCGGTTAATGCTGATGAAGCATCTTTCTGGGCTGTTGGTCCTTCAGAGGAATCATTTGGCTGGTTCTGAACCTTAACATTAGCACCCATGTCCAATGCTGGCTCCAAGATTTCACTTGGTTTTGCATCCAATGTGGATGATGAATTGGATTCTGAGAGAGCTGTTGCAATAGTATGTGCAGAAAGGTCTGTTTTTACATCATGTGCTAATTGAGGTGAGGCTTCCGGCTCAACCATAGGTGTACCAGAAGCCATTTGAGAAATTCCTGTTTTAGAAATGGTACTCATTCCATCAGATTTTATGGGAGCGGACGAAATTAAATTTCCTCCTGCAGGAGTCTGACTTCCCTGCAGTAAACTATGAGCAGCCTCTTTTAAATGTTCTGAAGCATCCACAGCTGTCTCCTGAATTTTGGAGATCTCTTTTTCACTAGTATGTTGGCTGGTTTGAGCTGCACTATGTGATTGATCATCATTTGGAGAGGAAACCTTAGGTTCGTGGGACGATTCTGGAGGAGCATTTTCCTTCATATCTTTAGCATCTCCCATTTCTTAATTACGAAATAAATTGAATAAAGTCGGGACCTAGAAATCAAACAATCACAGAATAAGTTAGGAGATGTAGACCAGCCATAATTTAACAGACGGGGAATATATGCATAGGAGGTGAATGTAGTTGAAAAAATGTCAAATGGTTTATTTAGGATGTAAGCCGAAGACCTGAGAAACCATTTCATGAACAATACTAGACCACCCCTGTTCTAAAACATCCGTCGTAAATGTGACCATTTTCTCAATTGAATATGGTAAAAAGAATTACCAAAAGATTTTGAAGAGATTTATGGCAGTATGCCACATCAAAAGATTAAGATCTACTCTACCTTCGTAGATTGGATGACAAAGAATAACTTTTACCCGCATGTCGACTCCTTTTAGATAGTGAATACAACAGTTCTAACTCAATAAGAAATTATAAGTCAAATATTCTTAAACGAAAGTGTGTCAAGTCAAAGGACATATTCACTTTCAAGCAGAGGGAGTATTACGAGGGAGTATTATGGACTGATAAATGGATTTTAGGCAAGAGGTCTCACAAGCAAGTGCATTCTTTACCCAGCTAAAATCACATGTAACTTGGCGTCCAGCACATGCTTGCTGATGCAAGTTTATAAACTACAAAGTTTCTTTGTCCTCTTTTTTTTCCTTTCTGAGGGTGGCGGGTTTGGTTTGACTTCAGTCATAATTTATTGAAGATCTAACATTTTCTATAAATAACTGCATGTGCAAGCATTTAAAAGAAATATCAACCCTACTATATTACCTCCAGTCCCACTCCCCAATCAGACTCCCGACCAAAATAAACAAACAAATAAATAAGG